TAGGGAAGGGCTAAGTGCTCAGAAAGGCGACAGGTCTGCACTGTTGTGTCTCAGTCTGAGATGGTTTCCTAAGTCCTGTTGGTTGTAGGAAATGCAAGGAAATTGGTTGATGAACAGACTTGGTTAATTGTGATCTTGAGCCCAGGTGAGTGAAGAACATCCCCTTACAGAGTAAGAGTCTTGTTAGGAACAAGTAATTCTCTCTGCTGGAAGTCTTTATCTTACTGAATGGAATTTTACCTGGAGGTTCTTGAGGATTTTCCTGTGGAAGGGCTAAAGTCTAGCACTTGCCTGAGTTCAGGATGGTTCCTCTCAGAGACATTACTCCTCTGGGCTTGCAGCCTTTTCTCGGTAATTTAGATACAGAAATGCGTTTGACTCAGGTTTTCCTTATTTAATTTCTTGCTATGACATCTGTACCCATTTATAGACTCATTACTTGATTTGTGTTTATTCCTTATGTAGTGTGTTGTGTATCAAGTGTTTAAATAAAATATTTTTTTACTTAGTCTCTTGGCTGTAGGAAAGTCATCCTGAAGGGCAAAGAATGCCTTTAAACCCTGCTCTTTGGCAGAGTCCTTCTCCCGTGCCCTGGCACTCCAGGCCCTTGTAAATCATCTCTCTCCAGTTTCTTGCTGGCTCCTCCAGCCCCGTGAGGCCACCCCAAGGTCACCCCACCCTTCTCCCCTGCAGGTTCCAGTGCAGCTCTGCCAGCAGAGCTGCTCCATCCTCTGATCATTGGGTGCCTCCTCTGGATCCTCTGCAGCAGCTCCAGGTCCCTCTGAGCCAGCTCTGCAGGTGGGGCTCACCTGGGCACGGGGCACAATTCCCCTTTCCTGCTGCCCAGGCTGGGGACGGGGGGTTGGGAAAGCTTTCCCTGCTCAGCCCGGGGGGTGTGGGGCCTGGGCAGAGGTGTTGCACAGGCCGGGGACGGGGCTGGGTGTGTGCTCTTGCAGAATTCCAGAACTCAGGCACAGGGTGACAGAGCGGCTGTTCCCAGTCGCTGGGTCCCTGCCGTGTACTGGGGTGCACGCACAAGGACTGACGTTCTGCCTGGCCACGCCGAGCGAGGAAAGCTCCCGAGAACAAAGTTTCCACGTGTGCTCTGGAAATAGGATCCTGCGGGGCCAGCTGCCCTCCGTGCCCCGTGTGCTGCTGCCCCGTCCCTCATTTTCCACCCTCTGCGGAGGGCCAACAGCCCTGAGCCTGCCAGGGCGCTCTCACTGCCTCTGCTCTGAAAACAGACGATGCTGCAAGGGTAATTCCCAAAAACACGGGGCAATCCATGGAAAGAGCGTTTATCCTGAAGGGAAGTACAGCTGGTGGGCACAGGGAGTCACATTTCATTAACAGATAGAAACCACACGCACCTCACGTGCTAATTGACAGCACAACACCTGATTATTCTTAGGTGAGAAGCGCAACAGATCTTTTTCCCATGGAATTTTTGTCAGTGTTCCAAACTTCGGAGCAAGCCTGTGGTTTGGCAGCTGGTGGGTTTCCTTATGAGCCCTGTGTTCAGTAATTTTGCTGTGTTTTTTACACCTATGGTGTATGAAGAGTCCTTGTTCACCTCTGGTGGTTCCTGCCCAGGTCCCTGCTCCCGCAGCTGAGCACAGACCCCTCTGTCCCTGAAATCCTGGTCTTGTATGAGGTATGCATGGCATGCTGACTTTTCCTGCTCCAAAGCAGACTTTTCCTTCCATCCAAGCCCCTCAGGAAAGCCCCTTTGTCACCTCCAGGCAAATGTCCTAAGCCTCGTGGCCCAGCTTTTCCCTCCCTGCTGTCCCCGTGCCGTCACCTTCCTGGCTGTCGCCAGCCTGTCCCGTGCACAGCTCCCGTGGCTCAGTGTCCCTCTGCCCTGGCACCAGCCCAGCCCTGGCCCTGGAGAGGGGAGCTCTTCCAGGAAGGAGCAGCACAGCGTTTTCCTGGCACCGTGTGTGTCCTGGGGAGAGGGACGGGAGGGACGAGGCCATGCGCTCTCTATTTCTGGCTGCAGGGCACAGGGTGCCCGCTGAGTCGCTGTTCTGCCCTGCTCCCCCTCAGGTAGCCTCCCCAGGTGTTCCACAGGGCTCCCAGAGAGGCTGGAGCGTGAGGAGAAGGGAGGGATCACAGAGCCCTTCTCAGCTGCTGGCAGCCCTGAGGAACCCTGGGAACGTCAGCTTTAGACATCTGAAAGCAGTGATGGGCTTTTTCCCCCAAAATAGAAACAAAAGAATCTCTTTGATAACTGAATCACCTCCTGACTGAAGAAAGTGTCTGTTCTATTGTGTTCTTTGTGCTGTGATCCAGTAATTGCTCTCTGGCTTTATAAGGAAAGATCTAGAACTAACCCAACGCTTCAGGCAGCTTCTCTGCACTCTGGAGCACTTCTGCAGGAATCACTTTTGGAGTCGTGTCAGAAATGTTGCTGCCTGCAGAGGACCTTGGCAATGGGTGCTCCGTGCCCCAGCTGCGTAGCCACAGTGGCACTGGTGTGACTTTGGAAAAGGCTTTGCTGTTACTGGTGCCCAAGCCAGGGATCGCCTCTCCTTTGGTGCCTGCCTCGCTGTTCCCTAGGAGCTGGAGAGCTGGGGGTGACTTTGGAGATCACCCTCTGCTTGTTTGCCCGAGAGCTGGGAATGCCATCCTGTTTCCAGCCAGATCCATGGCAGTCAGCCTTCCTGGCTATCGCTGCCTTTGGCACAAGGGTGCTTGTTCTGTCTGCCCAGCCCATCCCTGCCACTTTGCTCCAGGCTGGGTCAGGGCATTCAGAGCTCCTGGGCACTTCTTCCCAACGGGAATCGCTGTTGGAAGGAGCCAGGTGTGCCACTGTAGTCTTTCAGGTTAAATGGGGAGCCAAACGTTTGTCATCTCATTACTTAATGAAAACCAAATAAATCCTTGCCTTGCCGCGTGCTGCGTTGTCTGATGCTGGTCTCTCCCAGTGTCTCCCAGCTTCCCCCACCACAAAGTGTCCCTTCCCCAGGCAGGCTTTGCTCTGGAGCCGTCGGTGCTGCTGCTCTGTGCCGTGCTGCCCATCCAGAGAGGGCCCTTTGTGCTGCTTTCCCACCTTGGCAGCAAGGAACTGAGAACGTCCTCCCAAAATATTCATTTCCAAGTTACCTTTGAAGGGAGCTTGTATTATAAATAAATGGAATTGCTCATCCCTCCGCTTCTCTCAGATTAAAGTGAAATTATCTTGATCTCAGGAGTCAGAGAAGACACCTGTCAGGCACAGCAGTGGGTGAGTCATATCTGTGACAGCAAGATTTCTCTGTGACACTTCCTTAAATGTCAAAATCTCATTCCCATTCCGCTGTAGCTGCTCCGCTCTCCAACTTCAATTAAAAACTTCGGAATAATTCCAAACATTTACGGGTTTGTCCAGCCTCACCCAGCTTTTAATTGCTACCTGTGCGTTTTCCTGGGAGAAGAGGAGCTCTAAACGTGTCCCAGCAGAG